GCATGTCCCTCTTCAGGAGGAATGTTCAAACATCGTAAGCAAATAGCCTGGGGACGATTCTTTGTTATTTTTTGACTATCTTCGATTATTTTCAGACTATTCTTCATTTTTCCCGGAAAGGGCGTGGGCCCAGGGTTCTCTTTTACTAGGTAAACCTGTCCCCCGGTGCCAACTTGAAGGAGGCCGGCGAATTGCCGGCGAATTTTTTCCCTGATAAATAACGAGGTTGAAGGAGGCCGGCGAATTGCCGGCGAATTAAAATTTGAAGGATGTCTCGAGCGAAACGCTTGTTTTTCAGAATTTGTTGAGGATGTCTCGAGCGAAACGCTGGTTTTGCAGAGTTGGGGATGTCTCGAGCGAAACGCTTGGTTTCAGAATTTGTTGAGGATGTCTCGAGCGACACGCTGGTTTTGCAGAGCCGACCGCGACGCGGAAAAGCGCCCCGCGCGAAGGAATTTCGATGATGTCTCGACTAATTCGCTTGTTTTTGTACGAATTCCTGGAATTTTGGCAGGATGTCTCGAGCGAAATGCACGACCCCACCCTAGCACGACCATACCCCAGCACGACCACACCCCAGCACGACCAGACCCCAGCACGACCCCACCCCAGCACGACCCCACCCCAGCACGACCATACCCCAGCACGACCACACCCCAGCACGACCCTACCCCAGCACGACCCTACCCCAGCAAGACCACACCCCAGCACGACCACACCCCAGCACGACCTCACCACAGCACGACCCCACCCCAGCACGACCACGCCCCAGCACGACCACGCCCCAGCACGACCACGCCCCAGCACGACCACCCCCCAGCACGACCACCCCCCTAGCACGACCACACCCCAGCACGACCACACCCCAGCACGACCACACCCCAGCACGACCACACCCCAGCACGACCACACCCCAGCACGACCACACCCCAGCACGACCACCCCCCAGCACGACCACACCCCAGCACGACCCGATCGATAAATTACAGGGTGCGGAGCACCCCAGCACGAACCCACCCCAGCACGACCCCACCCCAGCACGACCCCACCCCAGCACGACGACGCTCCCACACGTCACCACACAGCACGGACACACCCCAGACACGCCACTCCCCAGCACGTCCCCCCCCCACCACCTCCAGCACGACCCACCCTAGACACCGACCACTCCCAGCACGACCACACAACAGCACGACCCCCCCCAGCACGATAACCCCTAACACTCGCACGACCCCACCCCTGGAGCCAGACCACACCCCAGCACGACCGCACACTACAGAACGACCCTTACCACAGCACGACCACACCCCAGGAACGACCCAAGCCCCAGCACCGTGCCGCCCCAGCAACCGACCACGCCCCAGCACAGACAAACGCACCCAGCTATCGACCACGCCCCAGCACGGACCCCCCCCACCACGACCACCCACAACTGCACGGACCAACCCCACAGGAACGACCACACCCCCTCGCTCTCGACCCACACCCCAGCACTTGGCATCACTCCCCAGCACGACCACACCGCCTTGGTTGAGTGGTTGCCTGTCGTAGTGGAATGTTTCGTGGGGTGTCTCGTGGAATGTTTCGCGGGGTGTCTCGTGAAATGTTTCGTGAGGTGTCTCGTGGAATGTTTCGTGAGGTGTCTCGTGGGCTGTTTCGTGAGGTGTCTCGTGGGATGTTTCGTGAGGTGTTGCCCAGTTGGGTATCATGAAAACGTGTCCATGCTCCACATGTCTATATCCCTTTCCGGGTTCGTGGGTCCATCATGTTTGGCCCTCTTGGAGGCATCTTGGGCCGTCTTGAACCCATGTTGGGCCGCCATGGGACCATCTTGGGCCGTCTTCGAGGCATCTTGAGCCATCTTGGTGTCCTTGGGTGCTTGCATGGGCTGTCTCGGAAGCTCGGGACGCGGATCCATAGGTTATCGACCAGGGAGTGCAATCTCGAGAGCGCAGATCTATGGCTTTCTACGAGGGACCGTGGGGTGCGGTGCATGCGAAAACACGCCAGTGGGGAGGGGCCCCTCAAAACCCTTAAAAGAACACAGATGCCCTACCAGACAGCCTGTGGCATTCTTCCGCGCCTCAACGTGCACAAAGCGCGGTGGCGGGCGATAATGCGGCCATGGGCGGCAGCGCACGAGGCGGCCACGGGCGGCAACGCGGCGCAGCTTCGCTGGACCCAACCAGCGCACGACGAGGCCACGAGGCGGCCACGGTCGGCAGGCCCACCCAGCGCACAAGGAAGCCACCAGGCGGCCACGGGCGGCGAGTCGGCGAACCCTCGCTGGACCCAACTAATTTCGCAGCGAGAGAAGTAAGCACCCCTAAGTGCAAGCACTGCTTCGGGATATTCGAACATCCACAATGAACGCATGTTCGGCTGGATGCGCCTGGCTCAGGGGCGAAAGTAGCAAAACAAGCAAAGGCCCAGCGCACACCAACCGCTGCAGGCGCGAGGGCGGATTACCAGGAAGTTGGACACATTTGACGTGGTCGGCTTGGGCGAGAGCTGGAATGGTATTCGACCGCACGTCTTTCCAGCGCTCTACCCTCGTATGCTCACTTACATTGGCCTTCCACCCTCGTATGGCAAGGCACGCTGGTCCTCCACACTTGCATCCAGCAAGTAGCATCTGCATGTTCTTCACCTGAATATAATCATCTGTAACGCTCACCGCTCAGGTGTGCGTGTGATTCCTGCGCGCGCAAACTAATTGAACAAGAGCATCGTCGTAATGCATATCGGCGCCTTGAGTCACAGAGATGGGTGTTTTTCCCGGAAAGGGCTTTGGCCCAGGGTTCTCTTTTAGTATGTAAACATGTCCCCGGCGCCCAACTTGAAGGAGGCCGGCGGATTCTTTCCCTGATAAATATCGA